ATTTTTAGTGCGGCTTATGGTCGTGAAAATACGGTATTTAGCACCCTTGCATAGTAACTCATTCTATCTTTTGATTGACCCTGCTCACAAAGCAGCAAGTGAGGCAGGACTTGTTTAACATGCAATAAGCTTATGCCAGAGCAAAATTTTATTAGGAGCTTATTCATGTCGACAAATAGACAAGCTTTGTGTCATATAATTGTGACCATTTATATTAAAAATTAGGTATTTTGAAGTGCAGTACAGAAGTTCCTTGATTCAAGATAGCTCTTAAATGCAAAGTTGGTTATGAATTCATCCTCTTTCCTTCACAGAGATTTAATGTTACATTTTGGAAAAATTAATACCATGCGGAAACAAGGAACCTATCTGAGTAACAGAAATTACCAGGAACCCTGGGGAAAAAAATGTGCATGACCTGGCCACAGATCTGAGTTGTATTGAACTAAGATCTGAGTTCTATTGAACTAAGTTCTGTTGATCTAAGTTCTATTGAAAGTATGACTTGCTCCTGAACCAAGCATTTCAACATAAACAACCCTCTGGGATTAAAAATGCAAATTAAAAATATTTCACAGAAGGAACCCTATGAGCATCTAGTTTGCTTATAACACAAGCGCCAACAATGACTTAACTGAGCAACTTTTCACAAGGTTTTTCTTAGGGTTTACCTGGCTCTCCTAATCCCTTTTCCCTTTGTTCTTATCCCTACCTTAATGCTCGTAACAGTGGTCTCAACCTTTTCTTCAAAGGATTTGAATGTAGGAGAATTCCTTAAAAGGATAAAACAAACAGCAGTATTTGTTACTACTTAACCTTGTTCATTTCCTTAGTCAATATTTAAAAGTTTAAAGTACCCCATTTAGAAGGAAAGTGCAGTATGCTTACCCGGGGCACCAAGAATGACATACATGAATTATTCTGAAATACTTGGACATCTATTTAGCCCACATCACCATACAAGTTCTTTATGGCCATATTATTCCAGATAGCATTCTTCCAGAAGAAGGAAGATACTTGATACAAATCTATGGGAATTTGGTTTGGACTGAGACTTTGTATTGGAGATATTCAGAGGGTACTGTTTTTCTATTCTTTGCACAGGAACAAACACTTCATTTGGAAGGCTGATGCCATAAGAGAGAAACTTTAATTCAATGGTACAAAATAACAAAATGTTTAAAATTGATTCAAATCCTTTTTGCAGAGCATTCACTTCTGGCATTGTTCTGGTAGAATTAGATTGTTGATGTGAAAGTACTGTGGCATGTAGGCAATGTTAGTAGATGAAACTGAAACACAGACACTCTAGCCAGGAATCAGAATCAAGTTTATTTCTGAATTAAAATGATCTGACTGGGACTTTGGCCTTAGAACGTTTGAGAATAAAGAATAAGATAGAAAATGTAATGTTTGCCCTTCCCCTCAAGGATGTGTCCCATTTTCTTTAAATACAACATACATTGAGTACAAACAAATGTTTTCAAACATTTTTGTTTTCAGGTACTGCTAAAATAAGGAATGTTTTTCATTCTCCATCAATTACTGCTACTATTCAGTGCAATACTCCTTCGCAAATAAGTTTCTATTTCAGCTAAACAAGAGGGTCTCTTAATGACTCCGAGCCTGACACATTCTCTTTAATCAAGCATGTATCAGAAAGAATGGAAAATACAGTTATGCAAAACATTTATAATATTCAGTATAAAGGTTGTAGGATTAAATATTTTTCTAATTATAGTACCATTGGATATATAACCATAGTTACCTCATAGCAGGCATACTCATGGAATGGCGGATAGAATACCTGCTTTGCAAAAGCATGAAAAAGAAGAGAAAATACAAAGCAATTACAGGTTTGCAGCTATATTGATTTCACATTAATCACATCTAGCAGTAGACTATTGTAGTTTATATTCTAAGAGCTTGCTCATTGATGAAGTGCTACTTTGGAATCTCACTAAAATACAACACTCCACTGTCAGACTCTAATGGAAGATCTTCTGTGGTGACACTTCAAATCTACTTCATTTGGCTTTAATTGATGGACTATAGCTAGATGGGGTTAGTACAGTATAACATTCTAATTGTGCTATCAGTAGTAGTCTAGGGACTGCCAATAACAACAGCAGGAAGGAAGGGAATGATTAAGATACTAACGAGAAGAAGAACAATAGTTCTAAACCAGGAAATACTTTATTCACTTGCATTCAGTTGATTAAGGCTGATAATGCATTACTTCTAAGATAAGATGAATAGTCTTAGGTTAATGGTTGCCTTTAATAAACACAGTCTTTTAGGGAACTGAAAAGTAAAACTCTTGTCTCTAAAAGGGCTTTAAAGACCCTGCTACCTGGATTTTTATCTATGTCTATGAAAGTTCATGTAGTCTTTTGTCAAATGGGAGGAAGAGGAATAGGAGGAGGAGGAAGGGAAACACTTCTTGTGTCTAACCCTCTTTTTAAAAACACTGCAACAATAAGGAGCAGACAGAAGACAGAAAGCTACCTCCTATTTAAATCAATACAAGTTGGCCACATCTTGCTCATAAATATTCTAAAAATGGGAAACAGGACAGATTTAGAGCTAACTCAATTGTTTCCATTTTTCAGAAAAAAACCACCTTTCAGGCAGCTGGAAAGTGCCATGCTATAATTGAGAGCATCATGGATATTTATACTTAGACCAATACATCCCTGTTTACTTTGGAAGTGCTACTTATAGTTTAAAGTTTTAAATTTTCATAAGTAACATATCATATTAGCAACTTCCTCAATAACATTTGCAGGTATTTTTTCCAGTCTTTGGCAATCTCTATACTGTTTAATCTAGCTATATATTCAAAAAATATTTTAGTTAGAGCAATAACCTCCCTCCTTAAAGGAGGGAAAACATTGTTAAAAGAAGAAACACTGCCAAATATTTATAGTATGTATGTACCGAGTAAGCCAACTTTAATTTTTCATGGTATTTTGGTTCAAAAAGTTAGGATATGTTTATCTGCAGGTGGATTTATCCACAAGTATGTATGGGAAATATGGTGTGTTTTAAAAAGTATTACTACATATACTCATGGATAAGTTTATCCACAGATAAGCCAAAGCAATTTTTGGGGTATATTTTGGCACCTAAAATTCTTGGTTTATCCATGGATATATATGGCATTCTTCATATAATTTCAAAGTTTCCTGAATGCACAATTGATGGCTTACAAATAAGAAACTGAGAGACAGAGAGAAAACAAGAAGTAGTAGCAACATATAGTCACCTTACCCAAGGGAATGTGACCTGGATCAGTAGCATAAGGAAAAATCAGGAAGAATTAAGCATTGGTATATAGTTATGGAAGTGCTTTCAAAACCCAGCATAGTCTATTCAGTGCCAATATTTACAGTATTTTTCATGACCAGAAAGCATGTGAAAATGGTGCTTCATGAAGTATGTTAGCACATGCAAAGCACCAGCTGAATGAATGAATGAATAAATGAATGAATGAACGAATCTCTTCCATCGGTTCCAGACAGGGTCAATGTACCACCCAGGTCCTTTCAGACTTTGAAAAGTGATACCTAATTTGTAGAAAGCCCTCTGCTTAGCTCCCCTTTCCAATGCTTTATACAACCCTATAACTATCAATATTTGCAATCTCAAATATGTTTCTAATAAGGATTTTGCAAACTTATTCTCAGAGGGGACTAGGAGTCAAACTGTAACATTTCATATAATTTGTGTCTGTTTCATTGAAGTTTGCAATGTTCAGAACAATTTAATACTCCTTAGACATAGCTATTTTAGAGAGCAGAAATTTAATAACCATTATTATCATCATCATCAGCTCTGGTAATTAAATAGCAAAAGAAGAATGTCTTAGCTCAGAATGCATCGTCATCCCTTAAATCAACATTATTGTATCTATACATCAAATCAGTTGCAACATAAATATATAGGTGAGCCAATTAGTTTCAGTTAAGTATGCATAAAATTAAGTGAAATTAAAAGCATGGGATAGGTTAGGATCACCAAGATTTGTTTGTTTCTCAGAGCCAATTTAGGATGGAGTGGCACAGAAACCTTAGATTAATTAATGAATTAATTAATCAACTACGTCTGGTTGTGCTTCCAACAGGAATTCAGCAGGACTTGCAAGATAATTTCAAGCCAATTCCACTGTGAGAAATGAAAGCATTCAAAGACAGAGCTTACTTGCTGGACAGCACATTTGGCACATATAATTCAGTGGCTTAAATTGTGTCAACTAATGAAACAGAAAACAGTGATGATTTAAAATGAATCAACTCAAGTCCTTGATGAGATAAACATGGAGAAAATCAAACTATGTGATCACTAAGAATCAACACTGATTTGATGGCATATAATAAATCATTTCCTGAACCTAATGCTATAAAAAGTATCCAGTTTTTTCATTAATATAAGAATATTTATATATTATTTTAATGTGACATATTTATCTTTACTTTTTCAAAGTTTGCTATTAATATCAGATCTCCATTATTATTTTTAAAGGACAAATTAGACCCAACTATTTTGTGCTACATTATTTATCAGGTGGCAAATAACCATGGTAAAATGTACCTACTATTAGTTGGAATTATATTAGAGAGCTGCACAGTAAATTATCCTCATTCAAATAATTCTTTTTCAAGGGGGCGGGGGGAACACACATAGTTAGGGCAAAACCAACAGCTAATATGGGCAAAAATTACCCAAGACTGGCTTTGTTTGAGCTGAAGATGAAAAAGTGTCAACCCTTAATACTGAATTGGAGAAGTCTCAGATCCAACAATATAAATTAAAGTCAACATAGGATGTCCCACTTAAGATGATGGTAGATAACGTGCAATATATAGATCAAGCCATGGGCAACTTGCTTTACTGCCGGCTATTGTTTTGAAGATTAGGAACTATCTCTTTGAAAAAGGCTGTTAATCCTTTCATCTTGGACCTATCTCCAATGCCTTTCACCTCATTCCTACCAAACTGCAAAAACCTTGGCAATAAGTAACAAAGCAAATACAAAATTAAAACTAGTTGCCTAACAAGCTTATAAATCTGCAACAGATCACCTTGGGATTCATCAGTCAGTTCAACCTTGAAATGTCTAATAATCAAACCTGATTTTCTATGAAAGACAACTCTGACTGAAAAGATCCATCATGGAGCAGTCCACAGAAAATGATGAATGAAGATACTGACGATTTTACAAGTTCTAACATTCTAATTGCTTAGGAATGTGTGCAGTTATCACTGTACGTGGCATTTCTAAAAGTTTGGAGGTAAAGTAGTTATTCTTCATGCCAAAGGTGCTTTTTTTAAAGGCAATGGATTTAGCTTTTTCCTTGAAGATGTTTCACTTTTCATCCAAGAAGCATCCTCAGTTCTGAAGCACTGAAGACAGAACTGAACTCCAGTTGTCTTTTGAAAAAGCACCTTTGGGACAATCATGACCTCCTGCCGATTACCTCCCTTCGACCGATTAGATCGCACAGATTAGGCCTCCTCCGAGTTCCATCCGCCAGTCAGTGCCGACTGGCGACTACGTGGAGGAGAGCCTTCTCAGTAGCCGTGACCCGTCAAAACCGCGGAGGACAAAATCATGCTCGACGAAAGCGCGCATTTGACGTCATCACAGCGCGACGAAA